CCCCAATTATCGTTCTGGCTACGCCACTGGACAGGGTGGGTTAGGATAAACACAGTCCAGAAAGTAATATCACAATGTTGTAAAAGATAAAATATAGTCTAGGCTAAGATATATGTAATTAGGTAAGCATAATACTTGATGTATGATGTAAAGTGAATTTGAACATACCCACATGTACATTTGCGTGTTAGAAATCTTAACTATAGTTTTATTTATGCTGTGGACAATCAGAGAACTCTAATAAGACTGGAAAGATAACTATAGTTTTATTTATGCTGTGGACAATCAGAGAATTCTAATAAGACTGGAAAGATAACTATAGTTTTATTTATGCTGTGGACAATCAGAGAACTCTAATAAGACTGGAACGATAACTATAGTTTTATTTATGCTGTGGACAATCAGAGAACTCTAATAAGACTGGAAAGATAACTATAGTTTTATTTATGCTGTGGACAATCAGAGAACTCTAATAAGACTGGAAAGATAACTATAGTTTTATTTATGCTGTGGACAATCAGAGAACTCTAATAAGACTGGAACGATAACTATAGTTTTATTTATGCTGTGGACAATCAGAGAACATTAAGTTCATTTCCTGTTTTATAGTTTTATTTATGCTGTGGACAATCAGAGAACATTAAGAGTTCCTAAGATTGTAAATGGAACTTTAATTAGAATCGAACGAAAATAAATACATTAGTTGCTCGGCTATATGCAGAGTCAACTTGCAAAGATGAGTGGGAATATGTATTGTGAACGAAAAGAATAAAGACGGACCACTTTAGAATTTGTCTGGAACAATTCGAGAGGATAAATAAATATACAGTAATCTCATCTTCAAAATTCTGAAACATTCAGAAAACGATTATTTCTCATCTCTAGATCTTTCAGCAGAACTTTACAATACAATGATCGGATTTTGAGGGGAGGTGCGCACCTCCAGTGAGATCGTTTTGCACCCCCCTGAGAGTTTTTTACCTTCCCTGCAAATTCATGCACCCCCTAGAAAAAGGTCAAATGATTGATCAAAATTTGACTCAAACGTATAACACTTAACGTAATGATTGTTATTATTTTTATGGCTTGCTCAAGGTCTACACTTCAAATGTTTTAAAGTTCTTCTATAAAATTGAAACAGTGATAATTGGCTTTCTCTCTGTCACGTAGGCTTTTACTGCAAACGCTGTGATCATACAGTCATAAATACATTGACAGAGTGGGGCTCAAACAACGTCCCCACAATTTTTCCACCTCCCTCAGCATTTACATTAAAATCCGCCTTGTACAATACTAACCTGTCTATCTGTGGGAGTAAAAGATTCCTTATCAATATTGTCGTAGTTGACTGGAACATTTCCCTAAATAAATAAACATCACATCATACATTACGCATTTATTGGGCATTCCACTCGACTTTATCAAGGTTGAGGTTACAGGCGGGGTTGGGGTGGGGGTCAGGTGTCCGCCTTGATACATAATAATAGGGGTCACACGAAATATATACCCTCTGAACAGGTTAGCGGCTCTGAACAGATCAGGGGCTCTGATTTCATAAACGCATTATACAGTGATACAACATTAGTTTCCATGCATGATCATAAAGACACAATCCTGTCACAATCTCACAAATACAAAATATTTTTAACATACCGTAACATTTAACAAAGCAGCCCAGATTTTATCACGTAACAATGGAGGAATATCTACTCTAGCTTCTTTAATGATTTTATCTCGAGTGTATGGATACCCCTAGAAACAGATACATTGACGATCACTAATAAACCTGGGGACAACAAGCGTGACAGGCGTCTTTTTACGTCTCTCTGTGGATACCAAGAAGCTGAAGCAAGCGACGTCAACAAGGACGTCAGATTTCCGAGGGGGGACTGGATTAAAAACTGTGTTTGTATCAGTTTGTTGTAATCTTCAACACATATGACAAAACATAAGATTTTTAAAGTTGTTTTACTTCCTTGCACGAGCGCTACGAGGCAAAATGCCGCCAAAATTAGTCATACCAATTTTTGGATGAAGTCCGTGGTGACAAAAACGTCGCTTGCTTACTACCATACTACTACTACGTCGCTTGCTAACTCCATATAGATCCTTGCTGGGAAATATTCTTCGATAGTACCTCGATAACGCCCACTAATACACTCTTCTTGTCTCATACTGTATCTATACAGTTACTAACTTCCTCACGAACGCTTCTTCTTCGAAACGTTCGACTTTGACCTATATATCCTCAGGGTCAGGCAAGTAGATAATATGTTTTCACTGTCTACCCATAACGCTTTTCATTGAAACCAACCATTAACACCAACTGATATTTTACAAACGCAGTGGCAGAGGAAACAAGGTACAATACATCCTTCCGAAAAGTAAGTCACTTTGGCTATAGAGCCAATAGGGCCATTTATACGAGACAAAATAAGACGCGACTTACATAAGACGCGACTTATATAAGCTGAGTTATCGCATAAATGGTTCTCTACGGCTTTATTCTTATTTACTTGCTATAGCTATGTTGTTGTTTCGGTTTTTTTTTTTTTAATATGCAAAGCTAATAATTTTACGTTGTTTCAAGTTTCGGGCATGTGTAGTTAGAATTTTTGTCCAAAATTTCTTATTTAAGACGAGACTTAAATAAGAACGGCTAAAAGTCCTGTTCTTATTTAAGTCGCGTCTTATCCAAGACGCGTCTTACATAAGAATTTCGTGCCGTTTATACGACAAACTCGCGTCTTATTTAAGTCGCGTCTTATGTAAGTCGCGTCTTATTTTGTTTCGTATAAATGGCCTTAATGTTTGAGACGCTTGGATTTAACTGATGTCACACACGGCTCTATTGCCAATGTGACGTACTTTCAGGAAGGATGTATTAGAGGAGGACTGCCTCTTGAGGGGCACATTTTCCATTATTGAAGAGCACACCCCCCCCCCC